ACACACACGCACTTACGCACACACACACACATACACACATATATATGCGGGCATCTCCTGGTCGTATTCGATACCGGTTACTGCGTCTAACTATCACAATACTTCACCGTGCTTTAAAACTAGTGTGTGTGTGTGTGTGTGTGTGTGTGTGTGTGTGTGTGTGTGTGTGTACCGTACGTGTGTGTACCGTACGTGTGTGTACCGTACGTGTGTGTGCGTGTGTGCGTGCATACTCAAGATTATGTCACCACTTCAAGTGCTTTTCTGAGTGAAGATAAATAAGTGGCCATGAATAACGACACTTGTTTGGCACATCAACAACGAAATGAAGTTATTTACTAACTGGACCGACTATTTCATTGATAAAACTTCAAATGTTATCAAATGTAACACAACAGTTATATAAATAAGCCAGGAAATCACAAAAGTCCATTACAAAACGTAGCAGTAGAATGGAGCTTAACTCCAGACCAATCAGTGTGTTCATATGTCTTTCTTATTAATCACATTACGACAGTTCAGACCGTGAAAATTAACAATAACAAAAACATCAACAACAACAACAACATCAACTAAACAGCTAGCAACAACCACAATCGATTCAATTGTTACCTTTAGCAATACTGAATTCATTAGCTTAACAACTGCATCATTTTCATCACATTATCGTCGTGAAAGATCTCACAATGTTCATACTGTTTGTGTGCGTATGTGTTTGTTTGTGTGTTATTGTGTGTGTGTTTGTGTGTTATTGTGTGTGTGTGTGTTTGTTTGTGTGTGTTTGTTTTATTTCGCTGACGTAAAGCTGTCAAAAGAATGTTAAGTGCATGTTGAATTGAATGGATTGTTCACCTACATCTATCTTTATCATGAAAGTATCAAGATACTTGTATCAAGACCGAGACACGCCTAGTTTTGATATCGTAAATTGCAGGTCGCGAGTTAGCTCAGTGGGAAAAAGGGTCGTGTTTTGATTTGCTATTGCGCGGTTTTCTGGTTCGAATACCGTCTGTCTGTTCGAAGCTCTAAAACTACCATCAGGCGTTTGTAGGTCGGATAATGGATACGGTTATTTTATTAGTGGATACAATGGATACCTTGTTATTGGATACAATAGATATCCTGTAAAAGGATACAATAAATATTCTGTAAAAGGATACACGGATATCTTTGTAATAATAGATACTACAGACAGATATAGTCTTTCAGGTTCATTCTGGTTTTTTTTATCAGTTGTTCATTCAATTTCTGTTTAGTTTGACGGTTGATCCTACTCAAAAATCCTAGAACAGTCTGTCGAAATGTTTTTTGGTTTGAAAGCAATTTAGTTTGTCATAATCTAATACTATGGTTATTGTTGTTGTTGCAATTTTTCAATTTAACTACTTTGTAAATAATTAATTGGATAATTAATTTGCTTAGGGATAGAGTTCATACCGTAGGCTCACATGTTCACTGTCCTTACCTATAACGCGTTGAAATGTATCATATTAGTTGCTTGTGTATTCTGGTGAATTTTTGCATAATTTCATGTCGGATATACAGTTTATGCGTGTGTGTGTATGCGTGCGTGTGTGTGTGTGTGTCTGTGTGTGTGTGTGTGTGTGTCTGTCTGTCTGTGTGTGTGTGTGTGTGTGTGTGTGTGTGTGTGTGGGTTTTCTTTCTCCCTACCCACTCAAGTTTGTGGGAGAGAGAGTGAATCATCGTAGATTGGGTGAACGAGCTAATAAATGGATAGATGAAAAGATGAATTAATTAAGTAATGAATGAATGAACGAACAAATTAATAGATGAGTCATGGAACAAACGGTTAAGCGAACGATTTAATGAATTAATTAGAAAGTTACTATACTGTAGTCAGATAATAAGCAAAGTACTCTCTGCAATGTTAAGTGAATGGACTTTGTTGTCACACAGTTTCAAATAAATAAATATATTTTAATATATATACATATATATATATATATATATATATATATATATATACATGTATATAAAAATTGTATCTCCA